TTTATAATGTTACAAAAGATTTCTATTTCAAATAAATGCTGTACATTTGGACTATTCATCAAAGAATTCGGACAAAAATGTATCACATTTTTCACAAAAATATTAAGCAGCTCAACTGTTTTCAACATTGATAATAGTAAGAAATGTTTCTTGGGCACCAAATCAGCATATAAAATGATTTGTGAAGGATCATGTGATACTGACGACTGGAGTAATGGCTGCTGAAAATTCAGCTTTGCCATCAGGAATAAATTACATTTTAAACCTGGATTAATAAATGCTGTAAATGCATAATGCATTAGCTAAATTTAGCTAATTTCACCTTATTGTAAAGTGTTACCATTTCTTGTCGTATATTTTTATTTTATTTCAATCTGTATATAACAAACTTGATTATTATTTTTTTTTTTAATTATTATTATTATTATTACATTTTTATATTATTATTTTACATATACTACCGTTTGGGGTTTGGTAAGATAAGGTATATATATATATATATATATATATATATATATATTAAAATGTAATAGAAAAACATTAAATTGTAATATTTCACAATATTACCGTTTTTTTATATTAAAAAAAATGCAGCTTAGGTGAGCAGCAGTGTACACATTCATTTACACAATATAACACAATCCAGATATCCTTCCTTTTATCAGTACTATACGCCAGTTCTGTGTACAGTTCAACTACTTTCAGTTTTTGATTGGTAACATGAGTGTCTATTACTTTTTTCCAGGTGAACTTTGTTGCTGCCATAGATGTGTATGAAGATGGAGAGGCTGGACTACTTCTTTGCTATAACAGTTAGTGTCTATTAAAATGTCAGTGACTGTATCTGTGTAGTCAGATCCTCTAAAGCTATACTTCTCTTTCAACAGATATTTGCATCTATAAGAAGGTGTGTCCGTTTAATGGTGCAACACCTATGATTCAGCCCAACACTTCAGACTTCCATTTCAGCTGGAACCAAATGCCCAACGCTATTGGTCAGTTCCTTTAGGATCTTGAATATTCTTTTTTATTATTATTATTATACATTTTTCTACAATTCAACAATCGTTTTGCATTTGCATTAGTGGAAATAATTCAAAATCTCTCTATTATGTCACTTCCTGTGTCACAGTGTGTGCGTTCCCATATATACTTGCATTCACCACTGACTCCATAGAGATCCGGCTAGTTGTTAATGGCAACCTAGTATATACAGCTGTCGTTCCAGAATTGCAACTGACTGCGTCCAGAGTAAGTGTTCTAGCCATAAGGTTCTACCTATGAATACCATTGTATAGCTGTGTATATACTGTATATTTGGTGTAAATTACATGTTTATTTGGAGTTTTCAAACTAAAACTGGGTCCGCAGCATTTTCGAATGTCAATGTTCGAATGTGGGTAGTGTAAAAGACAGGCGTAACTGTGGCAAAAGTTAAGCGTTTTAAAACGAAAAGGCACTAGTGTAAACGTAGCCTAAATCTACTATAATACTACAACACTCTTTATAGAGTACTTTTCAAAAGATAGGGGTCCATAAGATTTTGTGTTTTTGAAAGAAGTCTCTTATGCTCACCAAGACTGCATTTATTTAATTGAAAATGCAGTAAAAACAGTAATATTATTATAATTTAAAATAACCATTTTCTATTTTAATATATTTTAAAATGTAATTACTGCGAATGGACCTACTTTGTTTATGTATATGAGTCACGCAGGTACTGGGCTTCTCCTCAGCAGTTGGCATCCCACTTTGTCTAAAATAGTCTGAATATAAACAATTATAGGCACACCATAGTGATTCAGGTTAAGGCAAAAACATGTTTTGAAAGATGGATTCATGATGTACTCACTTATTAAATCAATTTTGTACATTAAAAAGTAACCATTTTCTATTTTAATATATTTTAAAATGTAATTCATTCTTGTGATGGCAAATTTGTCATTATCAATTTTGAAAAACTTAATTTTTTTGTGGAAACCGTGAAACTTTTTCCAGATTCTTTGATGAATAGTAAGATTTTATAGTAAGTAAGTGTTTTTTTTTTTTTTTTGAAAATAGTCTGAATATAAGCAATTATAGGCACACCATAGTGATTCAGGTTAAGGCAAAAACATGTTTTGAAAGAAGGATTCATGATGTACTCACTTATTAAATCAATTTTGTACATTAAAAAGTTACATACTGTACCTTTACCTTCTTACTGACCCTGAATTTGAACAGTAATATATATATATATATATACACACACACACACATTTTTGTGTATCTTGCTGTCCCATGGTTCAAAAATGACTCTGGAATACTTTCAGTGTATTCCAGATACAATCATGTATTTATAATGAAATAGTCCTGTGTTTGATTATGGCTCTCTAATTGTTCGAAATTAACTTAAAAGGAAAAGCATCCTTCCTCGCCTGGAAATTTGTGTATGCTGTTGGACACTGCCATGTCTCAGATCCTTGCTCTTTTATCTAACATGACTACAGTTTTCAAGATTCTTGTTTGTTGATACTAAAAATATGTGTGAATTATTTGCTCTGAATCAACATTTTTTAAAAATGTTAAGAAAAAATGTCAATACTGCTTCCACAGTATTCAAGATACTGTAGCAAATATAGTATCACTAGTACTAGTAACACTATCTCATATGCATATCCAGTAACACAGCATGTGCATATTGAAGCATCTCACCCAGATAAAAGCAGCATTTCTTATGGTTTGTCAAGTGTTTTTATTATTATTATTGTGTTGTTTCTTTATTATGAAGCTTCATCTGGCAGCTTATTTATTTGTTGTTTGTTTGTTTTTGTTTTGTTTTTTAAAACACCGGTGAAGGCAACTCTTCAACACTTAATTTATAACCCCATTTTGGTCCAGTACCCTAGCAGTTTCCATCATTTCCTGCTCTAGCTCTACCCAAAAAGTGATTTTTGCATGGAATAGTTCATTAACAGGCAGACAGCCAGCACTGATTATGTGATTTCCCCTTTAAACACCTGTCATTCCCATGTGATTGCCCTTTCCCTTTCAGTCGGTCACTCTCGACGTCACGTTGGATGACCGAAGAATTGGGATCTCGCTTAGAGAGACCAATCCACTTCGAGTGTAAACTAAACGAGCCAATGCACATTGGCATGCGATGATTGCATCCAGCTGCCGCTGATCGCAGCGCGAGTATAACTAGGCAGCAGGTGCAACGCATACTCAGCTTTTTGTAGCTGAGTAAAAATCTCGACAAGAGAGCGGTTTTCTCTGTTTCTGGGTCCCAAGAGGGCATGGAGAGTCGCGGTCAGACCAAAACCGGGCCACACTCATCCTCCTCTCTCGCCAGCAGGCAGCAGCGGATGGTTCGAGAGCATCATCAAAGGCCCTACTCACGCACCCTCTGCCAAACCATGGAACCTGGTAAACGTTGCACCGCACACTCAGACCCCTCTTCGGTCCACCCACGGACCGGGTCCCTGCGTTCCATCTCGCTGCCCCTTCCGCGGGTACGTTGGTGGTCCCGCTGGTCCAGTTTGTACGGTGTCTGGGTGCCTGGCTACCCAAAACCGTCCTACTGGCTTCTGCGGACCATCAGACTCGGCTATGCGATTCAGTTCGCCCGGTGTCCCCCCCAAGTTCAGCGGCATCCGCTTCACTTCAGTGAAGGCGGCCGATGCTCCTGTCTTGCATGCGGAGATCGCAGTCCTACTGGCGAAGGACGCAATAGAGTCGGTCCCTCCAGCCGATATGAAGACGGGGTTTTATGGCCCCTACTTCATTGTACCCAAGAAAGGTGGTGGGTTACGACCGATCTTGGAAACGCATCTTCGGGTGCATCCGTCCCCGAGATTGGTTTGCAGTGATCGACCTGAAGGACGCGTACTTTCATGTATCAATCCTTCCACACCACAGACCATTGCTGCGGTTTGTGTTCGAAGGACGAGCATATCAGTACAAGGTCTTGCCCTTCGGGCTGTCCCTGTCACCCCGTGTCTTCACGAAAGTTGCGGAGGCAGCCCTTGTTCCCCTGAGAGAGCAGGGCGTTCACATTCTCAACTACCTCAATGACTGGCTCATACTAGCTCAGTCTCAGGGTCAGTTGTGCTATGGAGTTGGATTCGGTCGAGCAGGCCTCACGCAGGAACGTGCTCGGTCGGTGTTGAACTGCCTGAATATGTTCAGGAGCAGGGCGGCGGTCCCACTGAAACAGTTTCAGAGGCTCCTGGGGCATGTGGCAGCTACAGCGGCAGTCACGCCGCTGGGGCTGCTTCATATGAGACCGCTTCAACACTGGCTCCATGGCCGAGTCCCGAGGTGGGCGTGGCAACGCGGCACTCACTGGATCCAAGTCACACCGGGCTGCCGCCAAACCCTCACCCCGTGGTCAGACCTTGCATTTCTCCGGGCAGGAGTGCCGCTGGAACAGGTCTCCAGGCATGCAGTGGTTTACACGGATGCCTCTACCACCGGCTAGGGGGGCCACGTACGACGGGCATGCAGTGTCGGGGGTTTGGACGGGCCCCCAACTGCACTGGCACGTCAGCTGCCTAGAGTTGTTAGCAGTACACCTTGCCTTGAACAGTCTCAGAAGGCGCATACGAGGGAAGCACATGCTGGTCTGAACAGACAACACTGTGACCGTTGCATACATCAACCGACAAGGTGGTCTACGCTCCCGTCGCATATCACAACTCGCCCGCCACCTCCTTCTCTGGAGTCAGATGCATCTGAGGTCGCTTCGTGCCATTCACATTCCGGGTCTACTCAACCGTGCAGCCGACGAGCTGTCACAAGCTGCGCTCCTCGGAGAGTGGAGACTCCATCCGCAGATGGTCCAGCCTCTCACTGCCAGTTGTTTTACTCCCTGACCAAGGGAACACTCAGCACAGATGCACTTGCACACAGCTAGCCAAGGGGCCTGCGCAAGTATGCGTTTCCCCCAGTGAGCCTTCTCGCACAGACACTGTGCAAGATCGGGGAGGACGAGGAGCAGGTCCTGCTTGTGGAGCCCTACTGGCCCACTCGGACCTGGTTCCCGGAACTAATGCTCCTTATGGCAGCCCCTCCCTGGCAGATTCCTCTGAGGAAGGATCTACTGACTCAGACACAGGGCACCCTTTGGCACCCGCGTCCAGACCTCTGGAAACTTCACGTCTGGTCTCGGGACGTGGAGGTTCTAGGTGGCCTACCCCAAAAGGTAGTAGACACCATCACTTTGGCACGAGCACCGTCTACGAGACACGCTTATGCCTTGAAGTGGAACATGTTCGTCGAGTGATGTTCTTCTCACCGAGAGGACCCCAAAGATGCCTGATCAGAGTCGTGCTGTCCTTTATGCAGCAAGGGTTGGAGCAAAGGCTGTCTCCCTCCACCCTTAAAGTCTATGTGGCTGCAGCGAAGGCTGTCTCCCTCCACCCTTAAAGTCTGTGTGGCTGCGATTGCTGTGTACCATGACCCCGTGGAAGGGAAGTCGGTAGTGAGGCATGACTTGGTCGTCAGGTTCCTTAGGGGGGCGAGAAGGTTAAATCCTCCCCGGCCCCCCTCTATACCCTCTTGGGACCTGACTCTTGTGCTCAAAGCACTACAGCAGGGCCCATTTGAGCAGTCAGTCGAGGTAAAGTTTCTTTCTATGAAAACTCTGCTCCTGACTGCATTGGCCTCCATCAAGAGGGTAGGGGACCTGCACGCATTTTCGGTCAACGAATCATGCCTAGAGTTTGGGCCGGCTGACTCCCAGGAGATCCTGAGGCCCCGGCCCGGCTACGTGCCCAAGGTTCCTACTACCCCTTCAGGGATCAGGTAGTGAACCTGCAAGCGCTGCCCCCGGAGGAGGCA